AGTGGGTGTGGGGGATCTCCCCTGCCCTGTTGTTGATTAATGCTCGGTCTCTCTAAGGGTGCGTATTGAAGTCATAGTCTAACTATCCATGCCCTATAAATCTTGCTTAAAGAATCTGAGCCAGGTTCTTTAATGCCATATTTGTTCAGTGCTATCATTAATTGTTGGTAATGGCTCACTTAAGTAAAATTTATGCACATTTAGAAGTCATACCTTTCCATTTGCATCACTCTGACATTTTTTCCATGTGGAGCCAATGATCTGAGTAATGAAGCAGGATTTGCCCACCGGTACATGCGAACCTTGGCCTTGTACACAGTACTATTTGAAAACAATATTTTTCAAGACAAATATCTTTCTACCCTGTGAAAAAGTAAATGTGTTCTGTCTGCATGATTGTTGTTTTGCAAAAATCAAAATCAGCACTCAGTGTGATCTATCAAATACTCTGTACCTACATTCTCTCTACTGACTTTACAGTACAGATGCTGTGGACCAAGTGATATTGGGCACTTTCGACATCTATCAACCAGCCAGGTTATTTTTTACAGCAGTCTTGTCTTCTGTTATGGCGTTGAATAATGGCAGAAAAGGTCTTTACGCAAAGCACTGTGATGTCACTGACAAGCTGATCTTTGACCTTTTGGATATGAAATGTTTTATCCTGTGTTAAATATTGTAAAAAAAAAATTGATTTATGGCCAAAAAACGGGTTTAGTGAGGTCTGAGTGACCTTTAACCTTTGACCACCAAACCCAAATCAAGTCATCCTTGAATCTTCGAATCCTTGAACAGGGAAAAGCATTCAAGAAATACAAGGGCAGAGAACTCAAAAACATAAATCCTCCCACCACACTGGTGCAGAAACACAAGTCTATGTTGTTTTAATACATTCACAAAGTTGTGTTGCCATGTGTAACCTAACGCCCTATGTACCTTGATGGAGTCATCGCAGCAGAAGAGATACAGAGGTCCCACGAAGATGAAATACTACACAAGTCCTGGAATCAATCCGCATTACCATAGCCATAATCACCTGGATTGATTCCGCAGCAAAGAATTATCATACCTGAGCTATGGATCAATTTGTCCAGTACAAATTGATGACACGGGTGGTGGAGGAGGGGGGGTGTCAGTGGGGACCTCAGAGGTGGATCACGGTCCATAAGAGCTCCGAGCAGGGATATCAATAGGGGCTTGCTGGGCTTGGCTCTGTGTCCGTAATGTGATGTGTACACAATCGATAGCCTCCCCCAGGCTGGCAGATGGGCCGCTAGCGTGGCGCAGGTTATTTTTCTTCCTCAGAACATCTCTTCTTCCCTCAAAGTAAGAAACGATGCGAATGCAGGCAAGAGCGGGTGACGCACGAAGGCGGGTGCAGCTGTGCGATCACAGTGCTGTCACTGATGAGAGGACATTTAGAGAGGAGTTAGTGCCCCTATTGACTGCTTCTTGTGGGAACTAAAAGAGGATGGGGAAAGGTGATTCTCACAATTTCAAGGGTAGTGCTCGAGATGACAGGTGGCTGAAGATGGAAATCAGGAGAGGCTCGGAAGAGAGACTCAAGAGGGCTCTTAACGCCATGACTCTTGTGTTTTCTCCTTTGGATCAGCTTCACATTTCCTACTTGTGTCACCCAAAGGATGTAATACTACTTTAAAGACGCTGCAAAATAAGATTGTGAAGATGGTTATGGGGCTTTGTCTCTAAAGCGCTTTCATTTCCTGCATACAGAGGACAAATTTGCCTACAGTGCTGCCTAAACTGTTATTTTTTAAGGCTGTCCCATGAGGAACTGAGCCACCAGTCATACATCAAGCGATCTATCTTTTCCTGATGTGTTTTATAATGTACTCAGGAGTAAAGAGCAAAGTATTAAGGGAAGTCATCAGAGTATTCGTGCAGCGTTCAAAATTTCTTTCTCTTTGTCCATTTGTCTTTTATCTTGTTCTAATTCTCAAAGTCTCAAAGCAGCTGTCCAACACAGTCGTGCCAAGCAGTTTCTGCTGCAGTAGAGTTTGTGGAGACAACTAAAGCATGTCACATGTCAAAGCCAGTCAGGTCTCATGACTGGACTGACCATGACCTGGCTATGACATCCTGATTCTGAGGTCAAAACCCTCCCAGGAGAAGAAGGAAAAAAAGAATTACAGAGTCTTTTAATTCACAAAAAAAAGCAGTTTCTTTGATAATTTACCATTTAGTTTCACAGTTTGTCTTCAAGTTGTGCAGTTTGTGGGACACACTACAGCACTGATTAGTTTAGTAAAATGATCATCCAACCAGTGACATTTTACTCTCTGAACTTGTGGTCAGAGAACAGCTCCACTGATGAGAAAGTGTCCAGTTCAGTAAAATATCTGGTTTCACTTCCCGTCTCTGTTCCTGTGTCTTCATCCCATGGGTCACTTCCAGGTCAGGAGGCTTTGCTGCACTCATTTCCGTTTTTTAAATCCAGCACCCACAGCATGTGATGCTAAACCTAATGCCACCAAACATGCAAATCAGGGAGAAAAGAAGACTGAGCCCAAGTAATTGATCTTCTTAACTACTCCCACTCAATTACAGTAGGTTAATACAAGCCACCTTAGGATTGCTCATCTCCCACTGCTCAAATGCCATTCGAGGTGTCAGTGAGCAAGGCGTGCTTCGGTGTGCAAAAAGTGAGATCGCAGGTGTGTGGGTCAGTGAAAACATTCATCACTTTTATCTCTCTGTCTTTGTGCGTGAGTGTGTTTGTGTGCATCCCACACGTTCTTCTTTTCATCCAGCTGTTCATAGAGCAGTTTAAAAGTGTGGGACAGCAGATGATTAACTGTCTCCTTTGAGGCAGTTTAATGTGAATCTAAATAAAGAATAGTTGACTTCTGAAGAATGAGTTACCTTTTGCCTGTATTTCAATATATCATACTTTTATTGCGCTCCATGTAGCACTGTATCTCTAAAATCTGCTTTGTAAGCTATGCAATTTACAGCCCGTAAGTATATAAAGTGAGCAAAATCACTGACTCTTATCTACTCTTCTACCTTGTTCGTGTTCAGCAACAGGAACACAAGCAAAGGTCCTCTGATGGAGAGGCTTGGCAGCAGGGAGTGTGCCTCAGATGAGCTTGCCAAAAAGTTCAGGGGTTTGGAAGCAATCTGCGTCCTTACTATGACTCCACAGTCTTTCAGTCTCGTTGCCAGGCCTGCCCGGGTTGCCTCACTTAGCTGCTAATAGGTTTAACCTAATCAGTACCAACATTCATTTAGTGATAACACTTCCTCCGCTGAGCCATGACACCAGCTTCTCTCTTGTACTCTCTGACTTTATTTTTTAACTGCCTTTCTCCTTTAATAGAATAAGTCATTTTTGTGCATGCATATTTATCTATTTCAGGAACTGTGACTTGCCTATCAGCTGCTTTTCTTTCCCCCAGTTGGTCCGTATAGCTGCAAAGCTGACCTCTAAAGACTGCAGAATCCCTGAGCTTTATTGCGACATGATATTTGCTAATATGTGATATTTGCTAAATTAATGAAGTCTCTAAGGAGATACAGTGAGTGTCTCTAGACTGCACAGTGTAAATTTATGTACAATCATCAGTGTGTTCTGCAACTTAATGTGGTTTGTGATTAGTATTCAGGGAGCCTTGTTTTCCTGTCTTGACAGAGGCTCTTCAATCCTGGTTCATTAGATTTTAATAGGTTTTATATTGCTCGGGTCATAGAGGACTTTGCACAAAAGAATGCTAATTTTTCTATGTGCTGGATTTCACTTTAGATTGTGATGCAATACTGTACTGAGTGTAGAACAGAGTTGTTTAACCTGCTTAGGACACTGAGTTGAGCTGTTGAAAAAAAGAAAATCCACTAATTCCAGCAGCACTGGAAGGCGTTTTATTGGGGGAAGGCAGAGGAATAGATGAAATAGAGAGAGGTACATGTCAAACTAATTCAAACAGAGTCTTCTGCTCACCATATATTGCTCACACGCCCATTTTTATAAATGTCAAACCTCGGTGAGAACATTTAAGGCCAGATTTAATCAATCGAGGTCAATAAATCCTGGTCAAGGTAAAGAGCTGCAGTTGAAAGGCAGCCTCACGCTGTGCTGACCTCATGGGATTACGCAGGATGTTCTCACCATCCTCTTACTGAACAGAAGGCACAGGATCCAATATTTCCACTGTTAATTTCACAAGAACAAACAGGTTTTTTTAAACTTTTGTTCACTTGCTTTTTTTTTAGCAAATTGGAAGCAGAGGGAATTTCAAACTGTTGCCAACAGGTGGAGCCAAAATCCTTTTAGCCTTTTATCTTTTGTAGATGAGAGCCCATGTGCGCGCACACACGCACACACACACACACACACACACACACACACACACACGCACAGTCCTTTAATTCCAAAATAGATTTCTGTCCTAGTTATTCTCTCTTACTGAAAAGTATTTCATATTTAATAATCTATCCTGCAATGCTGCATTCATTCAAAGATTTAATCACTCATTGGTACCTTCCGTCATTTTACATTACTTTGCTGCCCCACATTGTCCATATGGACACTACTCTGGCATGTCTTATATTCTTTATATGCATAATGGAGTGCTCATCAATATTCAGGAACACACCCACGGTGCCTTTTAAGCAAAGACAGACACTCCATTAGATTCATATCATTTACTGTATACTCAACACCTTTCAGCCTTTATTTATGCATCTATTTCTGTCCCTAATGCAAATCAGACACTTCTGATTATTCAGAGTGTATCCCCTATCTGCCACAAACAACTGAGCCATAAAGTGTTGACGGTGAGAGACAAAATGATAGATTCACTGAGCAATACAAGATGTGTATCTCGACTCAACCTTTAATGGCTCATGCATTTGTAATGTGTATTTATATCAGTTCTGAATATTAATCGTCTTACTCTGTGTGTTCGGTAATGAAAATGGAAAATGGATAAATACCTTGGTGTTGAACTAACGCTTTATTCCTCTCTGTCCTCTCCTTTCAGATTCTCGCCATCATATCAATTCTGTTCATCGTGCTCTCCACCATCGCCCTGTCTCTGAACACCTTACCTGAGCTCCAGGTCATAGACGAGTTCGGCCAGGCCAACGACAACCCCCAGCTGGCCCATGTGGAGGCCGTGTGTATTGCCTGGTTCACCATGGAATACCTCCTCCGCTTCCTGTCGTCTCCTAATAAATGGAAGTTCTTCAAAGGTCCTCTGAATGTCATTGACTTGCTGGCCATTCTTCCCTACTATGTCACCATATTCCTAACGGAGTCCAACAAGAGTGTGCTGCAGTTCCAAAATGTGCGCCGTGTGGTGCAGATTTTCAGAATCATGAGAATATTGAGGATCCTGAAGTTGGCCCGGCACTCCACAGGACTCCAGTCTCTAGGATTTACTTTGAGAAGGAGCTACAATGAACTGGGACTGCTTATTTTATTTCTCGCCATGGGCATCATGATATTTTCCAGCTTGGTCTTCTTTGCTGAGAAAGATGAAGATGCCACCAAGTTCACCAGTATCCCTGCGTCGTTCTGGTGGGCCACCATTACAATGACTACAGTGGGATATGGTGACATTTATCCACAGACTTTACTTGGAAAGATTGTGGGTGGACTGTGCTGCATTGCTGGAGTGCTGGTTATTGCTCTACCTATCCCCATCATTGTAAACAACTTCTCGGAGTTCTATAAGGAGCAGAAGAGGCAGGAGAAAGCCATCAAGAGGAGGGAGGCACTGGAGAGAGCCAAGAGGAATGGCAGCATTGTGTCAATGAACCTAAAGGATGCCTTTGCTCGCAGTATGGAACTGATGGATGTGGTGGTAGAGAAAGGAGACGACCCCTCCCTTGACAACCACCTGTCGCCTAACCGCTGGGGCAGTTCAACCAGGCACTCCACCTCTGAAACCAATCTGAAATCACCAGAGAAAGGAAACCCAGAGTTGCAGGGCTCACCCCATCGTATAACCATCACCACCACTGGGAGTCCACAGCGGACGAGCCGTACCCCACAACACCTTAATGTTCAGAAACTGGAGGAGATGTACAACCAGATGACCAAGTCACAGTCCTTCACCAATCTCAACACCACAAGCTCCCTGAGCACTCTCAGCACAACTATGACCGCGCCTGCCTCCCCGAAGAAATCCTACAGCCCTGAACTGACGTTAAAAGAGGAGGTGGAGCTGGAGATGAAGGAAGTCGAGAACTCCTCAGCGAATAACTTTGCCGGCTGTTCAGCGGACTTCAGAAAACAGAGCTCCAACTCAGGTGAGAAGGATGCTGGGCCATGTTCGATCAGACACGCCAGAGCCCCACCCCCTCTGGATCTTAGCCAACTGAGGGCCAGCGGTGACCAGAGCTCTCCTGGCATCATCCTCAAAGATGGCCTCTATCAGTCTGTCAACCCAGGTGATGGATCAGTGCTGCATATAGAAGAAGGGCAGAGCTTTAACAGCACAGTGGAGCATATCCAGAGCTCAATAAGAGGGAATAACCCTCTCAAAATAAAAGGGTTGAAGGTCAACCTCGATAAAACCTCTGCTGAAGGTCCTCTGACACCACCCAGCACTACCTCTCCTGGAGACATCAGCTCCAGCATCCTGGAAGATGAATCCCCGGAGGGAGAGACGTCACCGCTCATCCCCAGTTCAGAGGAACTGCTCCCAGTCACAGTGGAAGACACCTGCCCACTGTCCCCAAAGAGGCTGGTGGTTGACACCCCACCTGGTGATGAAGATCAATCGACAGAGAACCACGAGGAGAAGCATCTGATGGAGGTGGCGGGTGCCGCGGTCGCACCCTTGTCACCCAAGACAGCAGCACAAAATTGCACCCAAGGTGTGGTTGGGGCAGGCGAGGAGGTTAAGGCCGACAGCAACCAAAGTGGACACAAAGTAGAGAACCACATGTTTACATCCGATATCCACCTGATACCTGGGGACGGCAGCCTCTCTCCGACCTGTGAAACCAGCATGTGAATGTAAGGGAAGCTTTGAGGGACAATAGACCTACTACAACCTCAGCCTGGTGTGTGGAGGGAGCAGGAAGAAAAGTCAAGGGTGCAGTTGTAGTGAAAGATATTTTTGCATGGCATGACAAGTCTCTTTTACTTGTGTTGTTGTGTATTCCTGAAAAAGAAACTGCAGTACTTTGTGCAGATTTGAGAATGACTTCGGAGCAATCGGTGGGTTCAAAGAGGAGGCTCTCGAAAAAAGAAAAAAAAACTCATGTAGACACAGGTCCTCCCAATGTACATAATGACAGTCTCCTTTTTTTAGCAAAAGAAGGAAATGCACAGAGGGACTTATGTGTAAAAAGCATGCATTTAAAAAAGACAGATATTTTACGGTGCTTAGTTTGCTGAAAGCGCTTCACTGTAAATAGAACTAAGGCAATGACAATGCACAGGATGGCAATGGAAGACTGTCACTGAAGGTACAAATATTTGCAATGTGAAAAAGGGAGGGGTTTGAACCGACAGCCCTCAGACCGGGTGTTGCATCGTAGCGAAAAAAAAACATATCATTACCTTTTGTGGAAATGCAAAGTGTTCCCATGACGACCCTGTAATGTTTTTATTTTGTTTGTTTGTTTTTTTTCTTGTGAAAATATGGTGTACGAAACTGTAACGTTGACATTATTGCTTTTTGGTTTGTTCATAACAGCAGTCGAACTTTCAGTTTGAGCATCCGATATTCAATCGTTGAATTGATGAACGTGGGCAAGAAGGACAAATACACCTTGGTTCCTCTCAAGTGCACACACACCTGTAGTTGCCAAATATTTATGTAACCAGTAAGAACAGGGACTATCAGATCTTACAGCTTTTGAACATATTTATCATGCAGTTTCAGAAGTTAGGACAAGGTTTAGGATGTGTAACTCCTTGTTCAGCCTTTTGATTCCGTTCAAATCACAGGAAAGAACCTTATTTACTCTCTGACATCAGATATATACATCTAAAAGTAGTTTTTAAGAATAAAAATATGAAATACGTAGGTCTAGATTGGTTGTAGAAGAATTCTACAGTAGGTAAGTGAGATTCCATAAAAACCGAGTTAAGACTATTTATTGATTCAGCTCAGTAGGTCAGGTCATTAGTACAGATATATGCTTTACACTATCATTATCTATTTTGGCATTTCAAAAGGGATAGACTACCATAAAAAAATGACAATATTCCTTCTGATATCAATGGACCAAATCAAGCACACTGACAAGCTTTCTTCTATCTCAGCTGCATCATAACATATATGATAATAAGATGTACTATGATAGTAGTTCTGTTTTTTCCTTACGGTTTGTTTACCTACATTGTGTTCATTGTCCTCTCCTCGGCGCCCTGATGTCATTGTTGGCATTTGTTCCATACTACTGCAACCTTATCCGATCCTGCTGATGAGTTTAAGGCATTTTTAGGTTTGTTTGTTTTTTAATGTATATCTGTGGTGTCTTGGACTGTAATTTATTGTGTTTTATTGTCAAAAACAACTATTTTCAGTCAAACTTAAACCCAAAGGAGTTTTTTTCTTCTTCTTCTTCTTCTCGTCTTCTCTCTTGCTTTTGTTTTACACTGACTGAAAATATCCATTATATGTTGCCTTTGATTCCAATTTAGTGCTGGAATATTTCTTTCTTGTTTCAGCATGTCACTTGGCTGAGTGTACTACTAAGGCGTTTGTGAAAGCCACACAAACTAGAATGACTATGACAGGAAAAACATGGGTGAATTCTTTGTTGTTTTATTGTCTTCTTTCTTTTTTCTTATTATTATCATCATGTTGTTGTTTTTTGGGTTTTTCTTTGGTTGTTTGTTTTTCACAGAGAGGTGTGGAATGTGCAATACCGCATACTGCAATCTATGCAGGCCAAGAATTGTGGCACTTTATTTTATGTCTATGGGAATTTGTAAGTGTACAGGCAGAAATTACTTGTATTTTTCAAATGTTATATCTTTAATATGAGGCAAAACAGTATTACAACTACCAGAATCTCACAAACAATGCAAATGAGAATTTGACTTTTACTTTTTCATATTATATGGCTGGCAAAATGCTGTCAAGCACCTTAATGCCAGGTATCAATGGACCTCAAATTTGATTATCTGTGGGAATAGGGATCCAAATTGACCACCAGGGCCTTTTATATTGCTGTTAGATTTACATACAAATCTAACAAAAATGTCTGTGAAAAATATGAACATGATCTAATTTCAATGGCCACAAACAAAGGATTTTATGTTTTTTGTGAATTAACGTTGAGAATGATTCTATTTTTTCTAAACCAAAATGGAGCACGACCACAATTTTCCTGCCATATGGTGGTTGAAATGATGCGTGCCTTTTCATAACACCGCTGTTTATGAGAAGGTAGCAAGTCATTTTGCTTTGTTCATATAGCACTGTACAGAAAATTCTAATTTTATAGGAGAAATCAGGTCTTTATGTAATAGATACAAGTAATGATTATTGAGTTCTCAGGTTTTCTATAACTCTCTGATGTTCTGATTGGATAGATTATCTGTTTTTTCTTTACCGGCTAATGTCAACTAGTTACTTCTGTACTTTTTTGAAAGGTGATGTTGTCAAATTCACATTGATGTCTTGGCTCCCGGAGTAAGGAGCCGCAATATTTCTCCCTCCTCCTGGGTAATCTGTGTACCACATTCAGTATCCACCCCCATCAGTCTTCAGCGAGGCAGGAAGGAGTACAAAGCGACAGACGTTAGAGCGTTAAGAAGGGAGATGAAGAAGGAGAGTGACCGCAGTCAGGAAGAGATCCCTACTGTCCCTGAACTGATCCATCCGATTACGTCCCATGCTGACATCACTGAGTGCTCCAATCCCTACAGCTTCAGAGGCTCTAACCCCATGGCATGCCCTCAGGAACAGAGATCAGTGGGTACAAAAGAAGGCTAGCATGAGAAAAGAAATCCAGGCCTCCAAAAATGGTTACATTGCATCTGTTGTGGTCCATATTTTTCTTTTTTTTTTTTTTGTCTGTGTACATACTGGATGCCCAAAGTAGCATAATCTGATTCAGTATTCAGATATTCATGTGAAACCTCATGGAGTTAACTTTGTGAAAATCCCTCATCGGGTTCTTTGGTACTCTCCGAAGTAAAATGCGGGGTCAGTGGTGGTTGTTGTTGTTGTTGTTTGGGGTTTTCATTTGTCTTTTTTTGTTTTTTAATTTATGAAAGGAGGTTAGATGATAGCCTTCTTGTTAACACTTGTTTTTTTTCTCTACCTGTACATTCAATTTTTCCCTCATCCCTTGTTTGTAGTAATCATGTCTCCGTGTTAGCCTTGAGTAATCCTTCATTTTGACAGGTAGGGTAGAGAAACAAGGGATTTGGATTGATCAGCTATATCCCCTTGGGATGAAGTTTGTGTGGATACTAAAATTAATTCCGTGAGCTGACAGCAAAAGGAACGTGCTCTGTCTTACTGTCTCACGATGGCATATTCATCTGTGATACTGTACACGGTGGACATGTTGTGTCTTTATTTTCTCTGAGAGAATGGGTATAGTCCGTGTCACTCATGCGTGCTTACTAAACCTTGCTCCCTAAAATGCATAAAGCAACATTGTTTGTTATTATGTCTCTGTATATTCTGCCTCTTACATTTTTTTTTCTTTGTTTTTGGATTGTTTTCTGTTCAGCTATGAGAGAACATTATCATTAGACACATTCTGAGCTACAGACTGTTTCTGTACAAAGCAACATCTTTGTATGCATGTAGTAGTCCGAACACTTATGTGACCACAGAACACTTTGTTATGGTACACGTATGTCAACATTTCTGTAGAGCATTGTTCCCCATTACGTCTATTAGCATATGCAGAATAACAAATAAATGTGTATATAACTCGTGCGTTTATGTGTCTGGTGTTCTCTATTCTGCCCACAAGCTGATGTTTGTAGGCCACATATGCATTCTGTATATACATCATTTGCATATTAAGGATCATTACATAAAAGACGCAAGTTTATAAATCATTACTACTCGCGCCAGCTAAAACTGAGATTGCATTTGCAGCAAGAAGGTAAAGTTGTTTTTCATATTCAAAAGTGCAGACAGCTCAGCAATCTGGCATTACTGTCTGATAAATGATTTATCACTGGAGGGAAATGTTTTCCATTCCATTCGATGCAATTAATGCAAGTCCACATTTCTGTTGCATACTACTGCCAAACACTGATGCTGAACATAAACTCTCTTAAACCTCAAAGCAGAGGCTCTGGCATGATAAGTCAGTACAAAGACTGAAGACACACATACATTAAAAGAAAGTAAAAATGTTAATAATAGATCATACAAAAGCATTTGGGCGTTATCACTGTATCCCTTGTATTGCAGGAGGATATAATGACAGAGACTACTGCATAACAATTTTCCATATATAATGCAGTGATGATACTTTGTAGTTAAAAAAACTTGTTTAAAATGTAGCTGCAAACTCAGAATAAGACTAAACCAGCAACGTACAAAGACAGCAGCGCCTTAGAAGTGTGATGTGAAACTTGTGCTGTGTGAAACATAACTTTTCTGCCTTTTATTTAGTCTTCCAGAGTTTCAAAGTCATACACACCAGAAATATTTTCAGTTCAGACAAATGATTGCAGACATCTACCAACAGATGCTTTAAAATCCTTTTTTTTGATCAATGATGAAACTCCTAACCCCTAAAAATCATTACTGTGTGTCAAACTTACATATTTAAAAGGGATAAAATCATCTCATCATGACTTAGATATAACGCTACACTCCTCGTGACACACTCATAAGTTGTAATGTTCGGCTGATTTTGCCATTGATGATCGAATCAGAAACTGATTCTGAAAAAAATAATGTTACAGAAAGTTTTTCTATATGAAACCTCAGAATCCTAAATGCTTGCTTTTGAGATTGCCATTGGTACACTGGAGTTTCAAGATGGGAAACACATGGAGTTGGCTTCTTATTTTGCTCATATTATGGGTTGTAGCATACATAAAAACACTATATGAACATGTTAATAAGGTTTGAAATAAGTAAATAAATGTTTGTTTTTTTTCTAGAGGTGGTCTTTCAAATGTGTCATTTGAGCCACATTTCGTAAAAACTGTAGATGATTGCAGAGTTAGCAGCTTAATCTAATTTTTTAAACCGCTTGCCTGCCTGATTGGAAAAGCTTTAGTCCTTTATTGATATAGCCAGGCACACAGTGTAATAGAATTCAACTAAAAAAAAAAAAAGATAAATAAAAAAAAAGCTAAAATAAGAGTTAAGTCACTTTTGGTCTGAACAAACATAAAATATGACGCATGTTACGTTTGACAAAGTTTGTTTAGTTTTTGCTCTACTAAAATGCAACTAACTTTCCAAGAGTTTTATTTTTTAATCTTATCTCGTCATTTTTCGGAAATAAGGCGATGGTGTAGTTCCTCCTCCTCGCCGACAGATGGCGCTGCAGTCTGACAAGTGAAGCTAAACGAGCCCAAAAAAGGCTCGAGCGCGCGGAACTCAAGCAATTGACAAAGAAGACGTCAGAAGACTTCAACCAGGAACAAACCATAAAGACAAACATGGACCCTGAAAACAATAACACCGCTTTAGAGGAAGCTAGTGTAGATGAAGATGTCAATTTTTCACAGGTGACCACCGTTGCCACAGGATGGATGCTGGACTTCATGTTTGTAAGTTTGTGTCGGAGGTTCAAGGAGGGAAAACTTGACGAGTTCAATGAGACGCTGTCGGGTCTCGAGGGTGAGTTATTCAACAAGCTAGCTGGTGGTTAGCTGGTTACCAGACGTTAACTATTTGTTCACTAATACTAATGCAACGTCTTTGGAGGCATCAGGGTAGCGTTCTAAGAGTTCCTTAAGTTTAATTAGTGAGCACAAGTTGACAAAAGTGACACAACTTCACACCTCGTTTATCCTACGTGTTATAACGGTAACTTGAAGTCGGAGCTCCACCGTTAAGAGCCGGTTCACTTTTTCTACTATTAGACACCAACATGAAACTTTCACAGTTGCTTACCTAAAGTGGGACAATCTTATAATTACAAATTTTTTGTTCACATTTGTGAATGAGGTCATATCTGTCCAGGTTTGTACAAATGTGAGCACCAGTTGAAGTCACTGTCAAACTTCGTCATTCATTTACTGACATATTTGAGTCCAAAGTTATTACACAGTGGATTTTAAATGTCTCTTTTCATCACTTCATATATCAGACAATTCTTTCCCAAGCCAGGGCTAGGGGGAAAAATCAATTTTTGCAATTTCTTATGAATAAAATGTTTTCTAAATCAGGCTGTCAATGATATATGAACCAACCCATGAGTAAAAACCTCTTGGCCAACTCAGTTTTGTGATTCTGTCTATTTTGTGCTTTTCCCCAGCCATTACTGAGAGCACGTCTCTCAACGGACAGCTTCATAAAGAGAAAACACTGATATGCGCCTTCCTCGCTAGAGTCATGCATGGAAAGCAGTTGGGTAAGTTGTTGCAGGCAGAAGTTGAATTAGGCCTCCCTCTGTCTACATTTGCATAAATTATACATGTGGAGCGACATTGTTTGGCTGCTTTTGAGTGAAAGTTTGGTACTGCAGGGAGGTCAGAATGTACTGTATATCTGGCAGCACACATTCCCATAGAAGTGTAATGACCTGCTGCAGCTTTTTCAGTTGTCACTATGAAACTATTTGTGATTCAAACTTTGTCCTTCACACAAATACCCATATGCAATACACCCAAGTCTTAAGCCACTCCTCCACTGCACATTTATTACAAGAAATTATTTATATGAGCAACGAGTATTGTTTTTCCACCCGAAATACTGACTGGGGCTCTGTTTACAATTTCACGCTTGAGTTGAAGCTGATCCCAGCATAGATTAAAGTGCATGTACAACCACCAGAGACATTAAAAACAGCAAGAATTCCATCCATCAATTATCTATACACCGCTTAATCCTCACTAGGGTCTCGGGGGGGGGGCTGGAGCCTATCTCAGCTGACTTAGGGGGAAGGCAGGGGACACCCTGGACAGGTCACCGGTCTATCACCGGGCTACACTTAGAGACAGACAACCAAGCACACTCACATTCACACCTACAGACAATTTAGAATCACCAATTAACCTTAACATGTTTTTGGACTGTGTGGGAAGAAGCTGGAGAACCCGGAGAGAACCCACCCTGCACGGGGAGAACATGCAAACTCCACGCAGAAAGAGCCCAGGTGTCCTCACCGGGACGCAAACTGTCGACCTTCTTGCTGCGAGGCGACGGTGCTAACCACTGAGCCACCTTGCAGCACAGCAAGAAATTTTTGTTTCAAAATATGTATTGTGCTTCTTTACTGACAAATGTATTTACTAACAAATTCTATGCCAGATGCTGTTTTTAACCATGTTATCTACCGATTTTCTCCAGATGTCATCTTTGAGGAGGATAACTCAGTGATGCCTCTGATGTCTGCTGCCAAAACATGGTCAAGCCTAGAGCACACTGTGGCAGATGAAAGCCTCTTCAAAAACATTACCATCCTTTTGCTTGTCCAGGTAACTCCACGGTATATTAGATTTTCTTTTTATCTTGGTCTGATTATTAGTACACCAACAAGATTTGGAGTGAGAATATACAGACACGTCTCTTAGTGTGTCCTGCCAAGATTGAACCATTTAAATGCCTTTCTGTCTGCTTGCTATGAACACTGATGCCTATCAGCAGTATCAGGAATAACAAGGTTATATTTCTGAAATGGAATGCTTCATTCTCACTTTAAGTCTGATGTATGCATTTGCCCTGTACCTAGTCTGTGGCTGTCTGCTTGGAGAAAGGCCAAAGATCCTCTGCCTCCTCTGCCCTCAAGTGGTTTGAGAATAACTGTGAATTCCCACAGGTCTGTATGTCAGTTGTTCTCTCTTTTCTTTTCAAAAAGCACACAATAACCTCTGGGAAATGTGGTGCTCCAGGATGTTTGATTTTAACATTTAACATATTTTAACAGAACTTTGGGGTTAAGCTGTCGAAAATCGTGGCACAAAGAGACAGTTACCACCCATTCCTCATGAGCTTCAGCTTCAGCCGCCTTCTTGACACAATACAGTCCTTTTTGGATGCCTACTTGGAGAAGAATCCCTCTGACTACCTTCTTAAGGTACAGGACCTGAGTGAGCTGAGTGTTTTGTAGGTCACAGTCTGTGTCTTCATGACGCCAGGCCACTTATTTACAATTGCAGCTCATGATAGCAGACAATACAGCACTAAACTAGGATAGCAAGATATTGAAGCGCTATTGGACATGATGGACACTGTGACATGACCTTAATCAAAATATTTTATTTTAGTCATATTTCAGATTCACCAGGCTGAAGCAAATTAGTTGTTCTTGAAAACTAAAGCATGTTTTACTTTGATACTGGGAAAATATTTTTGCTGAGTTGCATGTTATAAATTAATTTTAGCTTCTCGTGTTTGTCTTTTACTCCAAAAAATGTGTGAAAAGCATTTTGAGGTTTTTGCTGATCAGCAGTTTGTGATGTGGATTTCAAGACTTAATTGGCAAATACATGATCTGGTTAGTGTTTCTCTGTAGCTAACAGGCAAAGTTTAACAAACAAATTTTAGCAGTCAGTCATTTTTTTTTTTTTTGATCTTGTGTGCAGACTACGCCTTCGTCCTCCTGAGTAATGGCGCTCTGGCCAACTGAAGGTGCTGATGTGACATTATCACTCATAGTTAATTGACAATTTGTCATCAAATTAGTTGGAAGGGCAAACTGCTACATTCAGCAGAGTCGTCCTCAGGGTCTAACAGACTCGCTTATTCAGGAAAGTTCCAGGAATGATTTGCACAGAAGCCAATGACCTCTGGAAGGTTAGACTTGGAAGGGTATTGTAATGACAGGCCTCATTAGTTTTGCGTTCTCGTTACACAATACTGACACGGTTGTGTTAAAGACTATAAGAATTTAGATACGTAATTTAATGCATCTAAATGTGATTATGTCTACCTCTCCTTCTATCAGGAAGCTACGAAGGTGGTCCAGTCATCACAGAACGTTGTAAAATCGGAGGATGTGATGTCACAGGAAAACCCTGCCCCGAAAACAACCAATAAATCGACAAATCAGAAGAAAAAGTAGGAATTATTGTTCTATCACTCCCAGTATCGGCTGATTTGCACATGTTGTATTCCCTGTATTGAACCATATCCTGTACATTCACATCCTAAAATGAAAAAAGTGGAGGACTGTGTGTTTGAGTTTAGTAGGAATGTGTGTTGAAATGTGTTTTTCAATACGAAAGATATTTTTTGGCTTTTGCTGTCTGTTTGAGTGAAGGTACAGATTCAGCAAGCTGCCCTAAACACTAGATGTGTTGCACATGTGGGGTAAGAAGTAAGTTTGTCACACTGTCTTATGCTTCCACAGAACAAAACGGAAGCTGCTCTCCAGTAAAATTACTGACGTATGGAAACCTGACTCATGCAAGAAGCTGTGTGTTTCCGTCAAGCGGATCTCAAACGCCGGTAGTTATTATTTTTCCCTTTGGCTTTGATTTCTGTCTGCGCTTTAACCTGGTGTAACAATACTTTCTCTTTTCTTTTTTCCTTTTTTTTTTTTTAAATGTTGAAATATATTTATCAGCACGTTTATATTTCTCAGCTTGAACAAAATGTAATGAATTTTAAATCTCCCACCATCAGAGATATCTCAGAAAATATCTGAAAAGTCACCAAACACCTCAGCGGTACCAAGAACAAGAAAACCACATCAGGTAAGTTGAATCACACAGGTCAGTCAGTGTTCTGTCTGCTTGATTAATCCCAAATCAAATGAATGAACACATTTGAAGCATTGCCATTGTCGGTATCCTTGCCTAATTGTTATGTTGTGACACAAGTCGTATTTGGCTCCAGTCATTTGTGAGCAGCTGTCAGCACTACAGTTTTAGACAATAGTGGCAGCAGCAAAGTCCGCCTCATTCACTGTAAACGTTTCCAAAAAACCCAAGGCTTCAAAAGTATGGCAGCACTGCAATTATTGTAAAACAAACGTGGCTCATTAAGACTACTTGTTAACCAGCAGTCACTTCCAAGCTGCTTGTTTTATATCGATGACGTGATTCGACAAAATCTCCATACACAGAAGTTTAAAAAAAGCTTTGTGCTGTGAATTTGGTTGAAGTTTGGTACAACTTAAAGATCTTACTGAAGTCAGTGAATAATTACACAGTAAAGAGAAGAAGAGTTGCTTTAGCTGCTCCATGGTTGTAAAATATCTCCCACGTCCATGTTGCACTTTGTTTTATATACAGAACAAACGTTTTCACTTTATGGGTTTAATAAAAACTCTTCTTTTGGAGGTGCAGGACTGACTTAAATTATACGCCCTCTTTTTTCTGTTTATTTTGATCTTTTTGCAGATGCCAGTGCCATTTTGCACTTTATTATTTCTACATTTGTTTACATTTTGCACTGTGCTGTATTACACAATGGTCTACGGTTTGTCAGAGTGAATTGAACTTATGTTTTTTGGGAACAGAAATGAATCATTAGATTAACCGACTAATTGGAAATAGTCGTTTGTGCTACTTTTTTGTCTTTCCCGTCCAAATTTCCCGAAAATATAGAAAATTGGAGTTTGTGTTTTACTTCCTTTAGAAATGGCCCTATCACCTGGACCAATACCTCAAGCAAGGCGTTCAACGTCACGGCCAGGGGAAGTGGGCTCTCATTTTAATGGACTACGACTTTGAAGGACGCACTGGCACCATGCTCAAAGACCGCTGGAGAGTTCTGATGAGGACGCACAAAGTCAGCTAAGAGGGAGAGTTCTCCTCCAGCCAATTTGTAAATACATTGACTGATTTATCTGGTGCCCTAATTTAAATTGCGGAAGCTATTCCTATATGTTGTTGTTATGATCTGCTTTGTTGCTGCTCTGTTTGCACATAAGAAGACAAGCCACTAGAGGGCACTCGGAACAATCATGTTGCTTGCATTGCCTTCTGTAATGGAACGCATTTGATTCAATACAAAATATGCAATTGTTCCCCTTATGCTTGTGCAGTGTAGCAGTTCATATACCATGGAATGACCTAGTTCATTCATTTATCCTTCTGTAGCTGGTGAAACTAATTTTGTCTTTTATCTTTTTGGTGTGTAGCCTCTGCTTGTACAGAGTAAATTTCATTCCACCAGTGGGCGCTCCAATATTTTTGTTATTTGCTTTGCTATGAAAGGGAGCATTTTGAATGAAAAGTCTTTTTGTTGCTTCTCCATTTTAAGTTAAATATTTTACCAATAAAATTGTTTTAAAACAATGAATACAGCAGTGGTGTGTTACAATAAACAATGTACAAAAAATCAACTGATAGGTGCTTATTGTGAACTAAAAGAAAGGTAAAATACTGTACACTGTTTTAGAACAGTTGAAATGTGCGTGGCGGCCGCAGCGATTGGAACGTGCCTTTATCAGTGTAGCATATTAGAAACATAGTTGTATCACCATTGAGTCTCAAGTCATAAGTCTTTTCTCAGTGATGAAAGCCTGTGGTGTCGAGGCACCTGGAATGAACTCATTATGACAGGTCCACTGTGAAGGGGGTCTTGGTTGTTTTTGTGGACTCCAGATCAGAGCTTTTGTCCAGTAGCGCTTTGTGTGGATCAGATAAAGACAAAGCTGTGTTGTGGTGGACAGGTGCACTGCTGGGTTCTCTGGATCTTCTTCCATGTCCCGCTGCACCGAGGGTTCCCCACCGCCTGCCAGTGCAGCACAGCCTCTCTGCAACACAGTTACACCACTACAGTTTCACATTTTTTCCTACTCACTACAAGATGTCAACATTGTGTTTTTGTTTCTAATGATTTACTGCTTTGCTTGAGGCAAAGGCGCATTAAATGTCACTAGAAAGAGCTATCCTGCTCAGACTTTCCCACTGTTTATACATTTCATGTGCTGGTTTACAGTTTTATATATATGTGTGTGTATGTTTTCTACATGTAAAGGTTCATAACTTCATACTTGTCTGATTCCTGACCATCTCCTTGGCAGCTGCCGCTATTGTTTCGCATTGCAGGAGGCTCACATGCCACACACACTTTAAATCCTTCTGTTATGTAGCGCATCCAGTGTGTGTGTGGCCGGCTCTCCACGGTACAGTGTGGTGTCCGTGACTCCAGAGTGAATTCCACACAGAACCTGCGGGGAGTGGGGGGGGCAGAGTCATGAAGGTCACACAGCAACTCCTGGAATATTAAGACCAGTGAATCAAGAGAGAGGACCCACACTGAATATACACAAAAGACAGTTTGTGACTCGCACAGGAGCCGCTCACCCAGAGCTCATCGTTTCTTTATCCCGTGTAGCATGGCCACACCTCTTATTAAATGTAAATAACGATAACTCTGAGCTGCTCACAATGCCTCACCTACTGTCATCCAGACCTTTTGTGCGTGTGCTTTTCATGAGAGTGTTTGATTTCAAAGGGTTGTGGGCAGTCGCTCAGCATGGCTGTATTTAATGGTCTGTAGACAGACGGCCAGGTGGGTAAACACCTACTGGTAGCTCATGCAGATGGAGGAAAAAAAAAATTGGGCTGTTATCTTGTTTTCAAAGTGGTTCAGCTTACACAGCGTAATACTAAAATGAGGTGCACCCCCTGACAGCATTCATGAACTTTTCAACTCTTGATTTCAAAGATACCCAAGGTCACGTGGAGTTTTGGAGGCTTTGTAGGAGCATGATATGAAACCTACCCAGAGTCCAGGGGGTTTCCATAGCTGTCATATTTGGGCCTCCCCTTGCCAAACTCCATGCTGGTGATAAACGCAGGTCCTAATAACAGAAAACTTTACCAAATTACAAACCAAGGTGGGGGAGAGCGGGAATACTGTTACACTGTCAGTCGTGTCTTACCTGAGTTGAGTCCACAGTGGCTGCCCTGGTGGTCTCTGTACTCCCTGCAGCCGGCTCGTTGCTGCAGGCCGGGACAGGGCTCGCCGCTGTTACCGGCCTGCTGCTCTACGTGACGGACCCGGGCTCTCACTGAAGGTTGGCAGGGCTTGGCACAGCCGCTCCAAAAGCTCCAGTCGCTCACCGCGCAATCCTGAGCTGCATGTTGGCACCGATATTGTGGGAGAAACAGTATTACGGGATATCCTCTGTTGTATAGAAAACAAACAGAGACACTGGGCCTGCTGCTAGAGACGTGCTGTATGCAGAGGTGACGATTCCCAGCAACAGTGAGAACTAGTTGTTGCATACTTATAATATTCCTGTGAAACCGTGTAATGGAGCTAAATACCCAGGAAATACCTTTAGATCAATGAAGCATTGGTTGTGACTTGTAGAATTAGTGTTTCCTGCTCTGCTTCAAGTGATTTGAGAGTGTGCCAAGTGAGCAGACCATTCAATGACCAAGTCCTGTGATTTTTCTTTTCAGTTGCTCTCTGTGCTTAATGATCGAGCTTTGATGTATTAAGCATGCAGATTTAGCGACTACCGGCCTATAACACATATTAGGTACGCTCGGCTTGTTTGACTGGAACTGTAATTGCTACAACTGATTGACAGAATCACATTCTTCAAATATTTGTACTAATTCCATTATGTGGGCCAGTCCACTGAAACGAGGTTAGATGCGGAGCTGCCTGGGTTATTGGGTGTGCTGGTTATTGCATTTTTGCGATGGAGCAGATGTGACACATTTTATAAAAGAAAAATGAGCGCATTTGCATAAGTGTACTGCACAAGTTAGATGGTGAAGGATGCAGAACAAAGGTAAATGTGCACTGTTTTACATGCATGGGGAAAAAATGTGGACTGTCTGAGCCCCTGCCAGCTCTGTCATTAGAGGTGCAGTGTTTGATAAGCAGCCCTGTAACGAGCAGATACTGATAACAATCTTTCCTCTCCATCCTTTTTTGTTATCTTCTATTCGATAGATTCAGAAGATAAGTTTATCTTTATCGGGAGTTCAGGTTATCTCAAACAACAGGCTTATCTCACAGTGGTATCATAAAGTTAAGATGTGCACCAAAAAAAAAAACAGATTCCTCTGTGGTTCATTCACCACTCACCTGGACACTCTGTGAAGTAGTCGAAGCAGCAGTCCTTGGTTCTGACGCAGCCCTCGTCGCAGTAGCACGTCCCGTAAACGCGGTCCATCCTCCAGTCGGTGGTGGAACAGCTCAGGTCTCTGCCCCGGCAGCATTTCCCCAAACAACCCCCCATCACCAAGTGGATCTCTCCAAGAGCAGAAACCACCAGCAGCCAACAGGCTAACGCAACAGAGGATCCCATCATGAGGAGGTCAGGCCAGAAAGTCGACCCCTGGTGTAAAAGAAACACTTGCCTCTCTTGCCCCAATTTGTGATTCAACACCCTCTTCTAAATGTGTTTATTCCTACTCTATTTCGTTCATGACGGTGAGAGGGAGAGGTTGGAATACCAGCCCAGCCCAACCCAGCCAAAGACTGAGCTCTGCCACAGGAGCCCTTGTGACCTGGAATTCCTGTGTCCGTCTCCTGTGTCCAGCCCTTCTGCTTCCCTCCAGAAACAGGTCCTGCAGAGCAAAACTACAGCACAAAACACCTCATTCCAGCACTGATCAGACTCCCATGTCTCTCATGTTGTGTGTGCGTGCCTTTTCCTCAGAGCTGGTGTCTCTCTCCGTGTTCCCAGCTGAGCACCTCCCTCCAGTCGATCACACTCGGGAGGAGACAATGAGGACGAGGGAGGGCTGAGCTGGTGAGTTTTGGTGTGTGTTTTCCCCCCACCTCCTGCCTCTCTTCTTTTCTCTCTTGCCTCTTTCTCACCTGCCTTGTTCTTGTTTACCTGCTCTCTCTCTTACCTTCTCCCTTCACAACAACAGTGACCCTGATGCCAGTCTAGCCCGGCTGCTTTCTGCCACTTCAGGTCTCTGATTCCCAAAAGAAAGCGAGGAATGCGAGCGCTTGGCAGGCCTCCAATCAATTGTGCTACAGGGTCCGCGGAGCACTCTAATGCCACCCTTTGGTTCTCACCTCTCTCGCTTTTTCTCTTTTTCTTTCAGGTCCCTGTAATCCAGCTGACATCCAAACGCTTCAGGCATGTCGATGTTTTTTTTCACTTAGATTGCCAAATGATCTGATATTTCTTCAGTTAAATGAATCAGTTTGACATTTGGGGGAATAATTTAGAGCCCAACAGCTCCTAAAACTCACTAAATAAAACCTGCTGTTATTTGTTTTATCCCTTCAACACCCACAAAAGTGTAAAAATGACTCCAGGATGTCACTGCAGGAGTCCCATGAAATTAAAAACATGCCATTTTCACAGTTTCTGCAGAATAAGCAAAGATACAATCCATTAATCAGCTCCAGAGGCTGGAAGGCTGATTATAAGGTTAGACTTCCCCTTGTTTGCAGGCCTCATGCTAATCTAAGATTACCACCTCCTGCCTGTACGTTTATATTTGGCACACAAACATCAAAGTGATATCAGTCTTCTCATCAAGAAAGTGAAGAATCTTGCTTCCTGAATTATTTCCTTGAGGGATCCATTGTCACCTTTCAGTGATATATAACCTGCATACCATTGTTGGGGGTTTTTTGTTTGTCTTTTTAAATGTGAGTTTGAGCAGTAGCCCCAGTGTGCACGACATTATTTGCAGACCAGAGTGTGGCCTTAATTTATAACTCTTGACACACAGCGCCGGTGACTGGTAGATGACAAATTATTTCAAGAACTGTAATTCTACAGAGGCATGTCTGTGACATTCTTACTGTTTTATCTCAGCAGGATTGGGCACGGCACTGACAGTTGATTAACAGGACTGTTGCATTTACCGCTATGAGTGAAATTACCTACAGGAGAAGATAGTTTTCTAGCTTAAGATTTAAGTATATAAAAGCTATTTGTATTCCTTGCTGCATTTTGGCACAAAAACTAATTCTCCAAATCACTGCAAAACTTAATATACAAAAGAAAGCTTGCTAGTCACTGATGAACACTGCAGATGAATTATAGGTTTTTAAAAAAATAGATAAATTCAAGCCCACAGGCAAAACCCATTTTTTACTGTTATGTTCTCCAGGAGTCTGGATGTCTGTGGACTCCAGAGAGGGTCAGCTTTTATTTGAGCAGTTCCTCGTCCATCTCATGGGAAACAAATGAGTCCTCTGCAGGGAGCATTAGCAGGGAACGAGGCCTCTTTACGCCTCCTGCTATAGAGGGAGCAGACATTAGTAATAATCTGGATACTTTGCTGTCTTGAAAAATAAGCTTGCCGAGGCAACGCAGAGGGGGGTCTGTTTGGGTCCTTTGATTCTTCTTCTTGCTACGGAGCAGGTAGGTCAAGCGACAGTAATAGCCTTCATCTTCACCATAATCATCAGCCGAGGCATCACTGAGAAGCATGTGTCTGAATCAGTGTATATTAAAGTTTGAGAGGGTTGAACCCACACTGACCTCAGGAGTAAAAGTGTTTCGGACATTTTAATCTACAGCTGCTATATATAAAATATTCAGATCCTGGCTGGGAAGTGGTGTGTTGCTATCAAACTTTCCTCACAAAAAATAAACACAATCTGTTGTTAGTCATTTTGAGAAGGCATCCAGCTCCCAAATAGTGGATGAATCATTTTCTAAGTGTGACTTCAGTGGCACTTTATACCATAAAAAAGGAAGAGGGTGCCAGTAAAATGCTGCTTAAACTACACACACATACAGTGCAGTTATAGTGCCGATATGATCTGCCTACTGATGCAAGACTTACAGCTGCAATAGTTTGCTATGGCTTCAGCACGTTGGAAGTGCACATCAAAGCATGTGTGTTTTACATCTGACAGGCTCCAACCCTGGACCTCCTGCCCTTACTGCGCATTTGTCAAAGGCAATCAGCCTTCCCAGAGTAACACACCCTGCTTGGAGTCTTCTTAGTGTATGTGTATCAGGAGGAAAAGAGATTAGGCCGATGTTAATGTGACTCTAAATGGTGAACAGTAACTCTGTGTGTTTATGGACCTCTGTCACAGGTTGCCATGTCAGAGACAGAATTCATGCCAATCATATGAACACACTTGAGTTTATTGGATACATACAAGAGCAGAGATAGGAAAAGATACAGAGAGAGACTGAGTGGATTTACTCAGGATTGAAAGCGTACGTGCCTCCACTTCTTGCACTGGGCGTCAAGGAGACGGCAGGGTCAACCCTAGCTCCATCTCGTCTATATGGGGAATGCAAACTGTGGCTGTCCCCATGGCAACGCCAGATCTGGGTTGCCATAGTTTCAAAACGTTTGTTGACAAATGTTAGAATGCGGCGTTTCATGTCATCACGTGCTGCCGAAGGTACGCAGATGATGTCACTTCTGACCTGGGCAACACCCTCGTAGCATCGATGCAAAAACAACATGATCTCAATGTTTAACCTCATAAAATATGTAAATAAGGAGTTAGTCAGACTAATTAGGCTGTGTTTGTTTCCTCCTGATGAGCACAGTCAGTTTGTCTCTCATGAATGGAAGCCTTTGTCCATTATCCTCTCAATTTATAGCTCCTTCCTTCATCTGTACATTTGGGCGGTGTGGCTCATGTGGGAGTGCGTTACATTGTCTCTTCTTATTATCTCTTCTTGTTGTGTGTGTAACCTGCTTTCCGTCATTTTATCTTATTTCTTGTCAATGATGTACCTGGCTAAGTCGCACAATGTGAGATGTATGAGTCAGTATTTAATGAGTTGAGAGGTCTGGTGTTTGACTTGGCTTGAGTCACCGAAGCACAATTTCCAGGAGGTTGATCCGGGGAACAGATAAGTAATGTTGAAAAGGTGAATCCAGGTGAAAAAAATACTTAAATTTTCCTCTTAGACTTTTTTGTTTATATCTGCTTAAATTGTTGAATTGTATATTTCATCTATTGCATCGTGCCTGCTTTGTGCTGTCAACTGTATATAAAGATGGGCGAATGCTATGTGAAGTTACAGGAGACAGGGTGGCTCCAACGGTCACCGTCATGGCAGTACTTGACTCCTGAATCCCACCGATACTAACCAGAAATCAATTTTAACTTTAACGATATGAACGCATCGACTGACAGGCTTCTGGATCAATCTGTATCTCCTGTGGACCGGTTGATGTTCAGTTGTAAATTTATGAATCAGTTGATTGGAACTCTGCTACTAAATATGGCCGCTCCAGTCTCGCAAGACTCCCACTGTAGTGTATTTGCTAGCAACAACAGTAGAACAGCATTAACCAACAGCAACGGTGTTCCAATTTAACTGGCGATACTTGTTGTATTTATGCTCCAGATGTTCCATTCTCAGATTCGTCATGACCAGACCTGCATGTGTGAAGATAATGTGCATAAAGAAGACCTCACTGAAAAACGTAAACATTGCTTAATAAAGAAGTCTACATCCATGTCAATATCATCTACAGACAGCAAAACAACATGTGCTGACCAAAATAAAAAACACATATGCGAGCATATTCAAGTTTGGTGAGAAGTTTCAAAACGATGTAGTCCAGCAATAAAAATACGAGTTCAGCATTCTATGCATTGTGCCGCCGATCAGCTCGATAGCATCGCATCATAATGTATGAAAATGTATCATTGGTGAATCGTATCATAACCCACGTATCTAGATTCAGATCGGATCGCCTCTTAAGGTAGAGATGCACACCCCTAGAAATTAGCTATAAAGACCAAAACTGGTTGTGTACCAGACTGTAAACACGTTTATTTCAGCTGTAAAGTTGAGCATTTTAACATAATAGGGATTAACTCACTTTCAGAGCCAACCTCAAGTGGCCATTCAAGGAACTGCAGTTTTGAGCACTGAAGCCACATGCTCTGCACTTGAGGATTACCACCTACATCATAACCCTCAATGAGTCTTGCTCTTCACACACACATACAATAGGGTCTATTATGATAAGACGTCCAGTACATCCTGGTAATGGTGCTCTATTCATTCCAGGTCATTACTGCCGGATAGTTTATGGATCATATATCAGGACTCGAGCAGCAGAGCGGACTGATGACACCCCGACAACACCTCTCCTTGCTGGATGTGGCCTTGGAGCAGCGCCAATGTAATGACAACAAAGACAGTGATATTGATGAAAGTTTTTCTTCTGCTCCAACCTGACATCATCACTGATAATTGCCCCTTCATCAGTCACTCTCTCGTGGCATATAGTTCCATATGTATGTAAATCAATGCGGACATTAGTAACAGCAGGTAGATGAGGCAAGATGTGTGGGTGGAGGGTGGAACTGACCCTGCCTCTGAGAGAGATGAAACTTCACGCAACGATAATGACTTGGAGACAGGATGCATCCATCACGGTGTGTTTCATAAATCACATTGTGAAATGTCATAGAGCAGTGGAAAGGTTAAGCCCCTCGACTAGCGCATGTGTATGTTGCTCTGTCAAGGGCAAAGTATATAAATATCACAAAACGCAATAGACATACATCAGCGGATGGCACTGAAAGTCATTTCACTGAATTTCTTCTTGCATATTGTTGGCAACAGCATTAAATCTCCCCCACACCTAGCAATAAGTGATACTTCTAAGGTTAGGATGGATTTATGGCAGGAGAATCCGAAAACCTCCTCACCTGGCAGCTGTAAAACT